AAGTCAAAAATAAAGTACAGGTACTATATGACCCTTATTCCTGAGTGAACCGTGATTTTATATATTTATTGGAACATATTGCGACCTCAATTGAGGTCATTGGTGGGGTGGAATACACAAATAAAAAATAAATGAGCACTACAAAAAGAGAGAAAAAACAAGAAAATGTGCATGTACAAAATAACGATTGACCAGTAACATATCAAAACAAGGACAACTTTCAGAATCTCAAAAAGAAAGTTGTCGTACCGAGGCATACGTGTATAGGTCCATCAAATCTGTTCCACATTTCAACCGTGCGCGGAAAGAAGGAATTTCGAAAACAAAATTTCGAATACGAGACTGAAAGGGTACAATTATTTTTAAGGATGGAATCACCTAGTGGGCGTGATGTCTGAAAAAGGAATGTATTCGTTGCGCACAATGCCCTCCTTTAATCTCCTTTAACAATTTCATGTATAATTTTCAGCCGCTCCGCAGTTTGCCTAGAAGAAAGAGACTCAAGCCCTGATATTGGCATAGTGGATGAAGGTGAAAAGTGTGGATCATAATTATTGGGAATTAATCGGACAGCCTAGGCCAAAATCGCCTAACAAGGGTTTTAAAAGCGGCTAGTTTGACCTCTTTAGAAGGACATTTTAGCGTTCTATCCCATCCTAGTTTTTGGAGGGCAAGAAAGAAAATAAAGTCAACGTGCCTGTCCCATTTAAAATTTGGATGAATCAAAAATTCCTAAACATTTGAACATATAAACCTCCCTTAAGATTATCTCACCAATGCCCTAGCTAAAAACCAAAGATTTCGTATTCGTAAACTTTATGAACACAGTATTTTCGAAGTTGATTCCCATTTGCCACTGTTTTCTTCAAATCGCGCACGAAGTATTCATTAAGTAACTGTTTATGGCTTAACCGAATTAACATAATCATACAAAACGATGTCATCGGCTTAAAGACAATTTTTAACTGGTATGTTTTCTACGATATCATGAATATATAGAAGAAATAAAAGGGGTCCTAATATAAATGCTTCCGGTACAACTGAACTGACCGTAACTTCTGAAGAATCAGCATTGCCAAACGAAACAAACTGTGACTTTTTTTTAATAATCAGTGATTCATCTAAGTAAACTCGGACTTTTAAGCATAATTTTCAACCTTAAACATAGTTTGGAATGCGAGACTTTATTGAATGCCTTTGAATATTCTATGAATATCGCATCAACCTGCCCTCTATTATTCCAAGACGAAGCGATATCGTGAGTGAATTCCAGGAGTTGCGTAGTGGCTGAAAACTGACGATGATAACCGTCTTCTTGAAGGCAGATGATTGCGTCGCTTTCAAGCATTCAAAAATATGACTAGATTATATGTTCGAGGAGATTACTCGAGGAAGAACTCAATGAATTTGGTCTGTAATTGATAAGGCTCTGTTTGTTACCAGATTTAAAAATGGGAACAACTCTGGCTGATTACCAAATTTTCGTGCGATTCCAGAAGAGAAAGATTTCTTGAAGATTAAGGTTATATATCTCGATGTCGACAGAAAATGCCCATGAAAACATTAATTAGAAATACCATTGGGACCTGGAACTCTTCGTGCAGTCTATGTTTGAGAGCAAAATATGGACACCGGAAACACTGATCATAATTTTTCGTAAAGATGAACCACGAGGAATTAGAAGAAAAAGAAAAGAAGGTTCGCCACCATTATCTTTAATAAAAAGAGATTGAAAACTTGCATTAAAGTCATTCGAAATGTTTACAGAAGCAGAGACCCACTGATCTTGAATAATAAAATTGCGTGAAATATCATTTTGAGAAGAATAGACTTCCAAAACTTAATTGGATTCCACTTCATGAAATGAGTGAGCGCAACATTAAAATAAGTATATTTTGCAGCTGAACGTTTTCTAGAAGCTTATTCTATAAGCTTTCAAACCAGCTTACATCCATGGGATTAGCACTGTGCCTCAGTTTTTTTTATTTCTTCAGTCTACCAGTTAATTTTAATACCTCGCTAGTGATCCATGACCGAGTTGTATTTGTCTTTTCTTGAATTTGACTAGGACGATTGACTAGGGCTTCGAAATCATCAAAGCCAAAGTTAAGCTCATCAAGAACAGACACGTATTCACTCTATGACAGTCTAAAACGCTAGCAATCCCGAGATTTTCGTTTAAGGCACAAGAATTAAGCGTTACAATAACAGTTCTCTGGTCTGAAAGACCTTCTACCACTTTACACTCGCAACCAGACTCGGTAATGCTATGATTAACAAAAGCCAGGTCAAGAATTGAATTATCTCTAGTACCGTCATCAACTTGATCTAAATCGAATGACACAGCAGTGTCAACAAGAGCATCACATGTAATATTATTGTGGCTGCGAACCATTAGCGTTCCCCAATTAAAGTCAGGTGCGTCAAAAATTTCCCGCCAAGACGAATTTGCAGCTGCCAAGATTATGCTTTAATATGCCATCATGAATATCAAAAATAACCCAAGCGACAGTACCGGGATCTCTGTAAACGGCCCCAATAACAAGAGCAAATTTATTGACATGAACCTTGCACCAAAGGGATTTAGTGTTTGGTAAGTTAGGAAAGACAAAAAGACTAACACCAGACTTTAAAAAAAAAAAAAGCCAACCGTCACCACTTACGCAGGATCTATCGCATCGTACACCAACATAGTTAAGTGGAGTAAATTTACCATCGAGTATGGAATCATGAACTAAAAGCCAAATCCTTTTTGTCAGTAGTTCGAGAAATCAAAGGAAACTGGAGTGGCATCTCCTTAAGACCAACCGTCTGCTCTTAGAAATAATTTTTCTTCGTCGTCTTTTTGCTTTGTTATTTGTCGATGTGCACTCAAAATTCTGAGTTTTTCCGATAGTACCGAATTGACGGGAAAGTTACCGACGAGTGTTTTCCCCCCAGAACCTTGCATATAACTGTAAAACAAAGAGGGTTTTGTGTTTTCAGATAAATCAGAAAAATATCCGAAAAACACTCGATGGTAAATATTACCATGAATGCAGATTGATCAAAAAAAAAATTGAAATTTCGAAGTAACGACAGCAAAATGAAAATCAAAGACGGCGATATTTTACAAATAAATTTATTAAAAGCACATGGTCAGTTGTCCTAGGGAGAGGCCATTTTAGTTTCCTTTTAAATCTCTGACTACTTTCAAAGGGAAGTTTATCTATAAGCTCGTCCTGGATCGACCAGTTAGGGCGTGCTGGTAAAGTTAGAGGTATAAAATTAAAAAAAATATAAAAACATAGGTAGGACTAGGACAGGACACATCACCAAGGTAAATTACTGGCAATGTTGACTGAAATTCAAAATTAAGCACATATTTTTTAGTAGGAAGAGGTAGACAAAGGTAAATTGAAGTCTTTTCCTTTTGCGGAGGTTCTAGATATCTAAAGTAAAGCTGCGCCAAACAGCAAACAAAACAAAAAAATCACACAAAAAAACTTATTTGCAGTTTCCCGTAACCGTGTTTAAAAAAATATTTCGGAGCTGACAAAAAAAAACACATAAAAAATGAAGGCGACATTATTGCCGCGAATGCAAGTTAATCGGCAATCACTTGTTTTACTCATAACGGTACCAGTTTTGTTGCTGACACTCGTACGTGTATTGCGATTCTGCCACACTGACGACAGCGCTACATGTGCGCAAACGCAAGGTGTTGCGGTCTGTAGTCAAACTTTTCGATTGTGTTCGACCCGCTCAAAGTAATTGAGAACAGATGAGTGGTAGAAGCGTTCACGTCCCACATCGTTTTTTTTTTTTTTTTTTTTTTTTTTTGTGACGGCTTGGTTTAGTACTGTTGCGATCTGGCTGTGCGTGTCTCGCCATTGACCTCATGCACATGAATTAGAACAGACGCAGCATGATTACAGAGACCGATAAATTCAACTTGCAAGAGCGCTTGCCTCGGTTCAAGGAGTGTATGCGATTGCCCCGCGTGCGAAATCCTTGTCGCACAACTCCACGTTTCGAAAACCCTGCGTTTCATTACACCGTCCCGTATTCCCCCGTGCCAAAGCCCCGTCCCCCACACTGCCCCCGTCCCAACCTTTTCGCGCTTCAACAAGCATTGTTCCGTGTCTTAAACTAATCCGCTGAAGGACGACAAAGGGTATTTAAAGTTAAAAAAAAAAACTAAATAAGCTTAACTTACACCACAGAAAATCTTACTGGGGATTCCACAGGTCGTTTCAGAGCGCGCCGGGATCGACTGTTCTGGAGCCCGCCTATTTCACTGGGCGGTCGGGATCGCGACGGACGTGTTCACTCGTCGATTTGGATCAGCTCGCACTGCAGATCTAGATTCGAATCTGAGAAACGCCGCTCCGTCAATTTTGGCGGATTTGACCGGAGGCCAGCCTGGCCAGCCCTCGGCGCGCACAAGTGACTTTCTTTCGCCGGGAATCTCGCTTCGGAAGAATTTGGAATGGCCGCTCGCGAAGTGACGCCCGCTTTACTGCTGCTACTGTTGCTGCTCCTTAATGACAGTTCGTCGTCAAGCTGCTCGACAGCCCCCAGCAGCAGCGGCTCGAGTGGCAGCGACGACGATGATTCCTTGTATGTCCCGCATGAATTTGACTGCGTTTTCGGACCTCCGCAGAAGAAGCAGGGAACTAAATTGGTGTATAGCTTATGTGACGTCAAGTACCGTGACGTCAATTTCCCCGCTATATTTAGCAAAGAAACGTAATTAGGGCCTAGGTCAAGTGGCATCTATTTCTTCGTTAAGTTTAGGGGGAAATCCACAGACGGGCGGACACAATCTTGAGATTGGGAGGGAAAGGGTTCTGTTAAAAAGAACTGTCTGGAGACATTTTCGAAGTACGTGCTTACGAAGCTTGAGGAATGTCCACGGACAATTCTGTCATTTTGTCCGCAGCGAGCAGAGTGCCTTTTTGTGCGATGTACGAGCCGGTGCAACCAGGCCTCAAGAGACCTCACCCCAAAACGCGCAGGTTCATCGCGGTGACGCAGCCCATCAAATACTCCAAGCACAAGAACAGCAACCGGGTGGCCCTCACCATCGTCATCGTGTGGGTGGTGTCTGCCGCCATCGGGTCGCCCATCATGCTGGGCCTGAACACGTCCCCGCAGCGGGTGCCGCACCTGTGCATCTTCTACAACTCGGACTTTATCCTGTACTCGTCGCTGAGCTCCTTCTACATCCCTTGCATCGTTATGGTGTTCCTCTACTACAAGATCTTCAAGGTCATCCACGACAGGGCGCGCAAGGCCGTCGCCAAGAAGGAGGCCCGCCTCCGGGGACTCGTCGTCGAGAACAACGCGGCTCAGGTCCAGGACGTCGCCCACCTGACCCAAGGGGGAGACAAGAACGGCAACAAGAGCTTACAGGTCAGTCAATCGATCGATCAAATTATGTTCAGTTACAGGTGCCACACGATTGCCCTCGATAAGCCACAGGAAAGGATACGCTTCAAAGTAACCAAAATTCCGCCATCGTGGCGCTTAAAACTTTTGGTTGGCAGTTATCTTAAACGTTATCTGGAACCACATAAAACAAGTTTTCGGTCTCTAGAAACGTTAAAACCGTCTGCGATAAAGAAAAGAGATATTGCCTGGGCTTTCTGACAACGTACATAAAGGGATGCTGAACCAAACATTTCAATGTCTATAATAAGTGGCGCACGACCTTTCCACGAGCCAACAGCTTCCGGTGGGCGCGAGCACACGGAACGAAATTGACATCATGGTCCTCCATTCACGCTTAAGATGACAGTGAAATGTGTGGGCTCCGGGGAAAAGGAGAATAAAGACAAGCTTTTCATCTCCACAGTGGGGTCTGTGTTAAATGTAAGCGATTAATTGGTCTAAAAAGCACGATAGCTTTTACTTGTGTAGATGAAAAGCCTCTCTTTATTCTCTTTTGGCCCGAAGCCCATACATTTCACTGTCATCTTAAGCGTGAATGGAGGACTATGACGTCAATGTCGTTGTGTGCTCTTGCACACCGTCGGCTGCTGGCTCGTGGAAAAAGCGTGCGTCAATTATTATGGACACTACAATGTTTAGTTCAGTGTCCCTTTAAAGCCCTGAAAGTCTCCGTTTCGAAAAGACCCCTTTCAAAAGTCATCGAGCAGCATTGGCGGTCGCCATCGCTTGGACACGAAGCGCGTGATTGGATCCGAGTCCTGCCCGAATGCTTACGCTTCGCTCGTGTCCAATACGAGCTCAGAGTGTGAAATCAAGCCTTAGAGGACAGGCAAAGGCGCAGACGTTTGAAAAGGGTCTGTTGCGCCCGCTCTCCACTGCACCAAAATGGCCACGCCCACGAGAGAAATCGGGGAATCGTGTGCCGTTATTATAGACTTCTGTTTCCTGTCGTTCTCAGTCACATGGGTTCAATATCTGGTATGCGGGACGAAAAAATAATATTTTTCAACGTGGAATATGCCTGAAAATATATGTGAGGCGAAACAAGAATGTGTGCCACTCGCGCATTCCTCGTAAACACTGCCAGCGGCGTGGAGAGTTCAAAACGATGTTTTACCGCATACCAGATGTGGTGACAATCAAGACGGCTCCGTCCTTTGCAAGATGTGTATAAGCGCTGCATATTTAGTCGTTTATAAGCCGATGCGGCACGTGCGTGGGGTCATGAGAACGACATCAAGACCTTACAGGTGGAAATGCGGGGCTCCCAGTTTCGGTGATTGCGTATGCGTAAGACCTCCTACATGGTACTCACCTCAAAAACCGCAATAAAAAAGTCAGTTTTTTTGCGAGTACGTTATTAATTTCCCCTTTCATACATTAAAGGAGACGTATGTGGGTGCACTTTAAATTAGTTTTATGTTATTAGTGACTTTTAGCAAACCGTTGGTTGCCCGTACCGCACTACCGGAGCCTTTGAAGCATGCCTTTAGGCGCGCGCCCCGCGGTCAAGGTACACTAGGACGCGCGCTTAAAAAGCATGCTTGAAAGGCTCCGGTATAGAGCTGTAATGGAAAACATGGTAACGGTTTGCTGAAAGTCCCTAGTTTATCGAGACCATACATGGGTAAATTACTTCCAAAGTGTAATTTAATTACAATTACAATTACTTTGCTTCAAAGGTAGTTTAACTACAATTACAATTACTACTACGAAAAAAGTAATTGATTACAATTTCAAATTACTAAAAGAGTAATGCAATTACTTTACAATTACTTATTTCTGAGGGCGACCCGACTTGGGCCGTATAACTTCAAACGAATTCTATAGAATGCAACATATTTGTTCATTCCTTACTCCAATGTTCATGAATTGTACTTTATTTTTATGAATTTTGTTAAATTCGCGATAGAACTTTGCCGCATGGGGCAATAAAGCATTGCGTTCTTATATTTTCCATAAATAATAATAAATTAGTTCATACGCTAGAAGACGATAGATCGATAAAGAAAAATTCGGTTGACAGACTTTTGTTAGCCAGGTAAATAAAAATGTGACACTTAGTCATATAGGAATATTTTAGAAGTGTTAATATAGAAGTAAAAACCACACGCGCTAATACGACCACATTCACATACAAGCATCATGGTATTGTAAATTATTTACATTGAGTTGAAATTATAATGGCTCAGAGATATGTAAGCACCGAATCGGGGCTTCCGAATCGTTGGTGACAATATTGTCACGAGTAGTGACCAATAAACAAGGAATAAACAGGAAGGAATAAACGTTTAATGTGGCAAACTTGTGCCAAAAAATAAAATGGTGCAAAAGATAATAAAAGAGCGTCGCGGGCGTCGAAGTCGGCGTAGCAGCGGAGACGAACGCTGGGGCGAAACTAACTGCGGCTCGCCACGCGGAGCCCCTTACGTACATGCGTGGTCTTCTGGAATAATCGGCGTAGAAACTTCGACGCGTAGAACATTCGGGCCTGGAACAAGCAACATGATTCTCGAATTCTCCAGAACACTAAGTTACAGGAATAAACAAAAGACACGTCGCTCCCATGATTCGAACCCTAGCTTTTCGCGTGGGAGGCAGGCGCGATAACCATTAGGCCACGCGCGCGCTGCCTACTTGGCCAGCGCGCGCGGCAATATTCACAGGTGCGAGGTCAGTTTCCAAAGTGCTTATGCACATAATAACTGAAGTAAAACCAACACGAAATAAACTTGAAAATAATACAGAAATATGCATATGCGACAGTGCTGAAAGAGGGACGTAAAAAAACTGGCAATAAATAAAGAAAAATAACTTCATAGACAATTAAAACTCCCAACCTCGGCTGAAAGCTGAAGCTCAATTTTGTCTTTCAGTATTTTGGCACGTTTACGGTATTGTTTTCTTCTTGCATCGCAGACGGCGCTACACGGCGCCGTTGAGGTAGGCTCCAAAGAGGATTGTCTCTAAGCCCGCAGTGTAATAATAAAACAGCAAAAAATGCGACGCTATTTATTTTGTGAGTGTGTGAGTGTTTCACCAAGAGCTATGCCACTTGTGCAAGCGCTGAGGCTTTCAGAGAGGTTCTGTCGGCGCCGCAGTTTTGCAAAAGTAATTGTAATTGTACCTGAAATTTCGCAATTACTGTTGCTAGAAAGTAATTAAATTACAATTACAATTCCTTTTAGCCAAAAGTAATTAAGTACAATTACGAATTACGAAGAAAAGTAATTAAGTTGCAGTAATACAATTACAGTAATTGAATTATTACCCAAGTATGATCGAGACATCAGGTTTCAAACGATAAAAGCATCGATTGTTTCAATAACCAAATTTTGTAAGGACTGCTTCGCGCAGCGCGTGAATATTAGGTAACACTTGAATTTTTTTTTTCACGTGCACTGCTGGAGGCCGACGCGAGGCACGGGTTGGGCACGAGTGCTGCGTCACCGTTCGGCTCGTAGTCGCGCTCATTCGGTGAGAACACGAGTCCCGGCTAAACTCTGAAGTGGTACTTGCGTTGCGTGTCCGTGTCTCATGCTGCGCATCCGGTGGGAAACGCGGCCTTATAGACCTCGCTACCTAACTTCCGTTTCGCATTAAGTCCGACCGCAGACAATGGTGCACGATCCGATAACAGCCATCGGGCTGCACCAAAAGTGCATCGTCACGGCGCTCCCATTCTTTGCCTGTTTACTATCACCGGCTGAGCCAATCAGAAAGAGACAAAAACGCGCAAGATCACGCCCTGTGCAAAAACTGACTGCCACAATGTCTAGTTCTCCACAAAGCACCTGAGAAAGCCAATGTAGGCAGAGAGCTTGGAGAATGAAAATGCCGAAAATACGTTCAAGACTTTAAAAAGTATATTGTGCGCTGACACTAAGCACGCGAAACGTCATGTTCAATATCACAACGCAAACAGTTTTTTTTTTTTTTTTTTAGGTTGAAACATATTTTTGGTTTTGCCGTTCGCCGAGCTTACTCAGAGATAGCAGTGATTGATTTCTAGATTGCTTTAGCGGAAAGTAGGCTCGCTGACTTTTGTAGGCCTTAATTCTAGATTTATTTTGTGACGCTCCTTATTCCACATTTGAGCACCCTGTAACGATCTAGATCCTCTTAAATTTGGTTAATGTCTTTCGATCATTTAACCTTCAGAGGTTCTCTCTTTGTTGTGCCAAGTAAGTCGTGTTTCGTGTTCTCGGAATCTTATTCCCGAGACTCAAGCACTGGCAGAGTTTAAGTTATCTGTGATCTAAAATTCAGACGTTTTGAGATATGCTTCATCTGAGGACGTGAATAATTTGAGTATTTCTCTTTTCCTCTTTTAGCTAGATCGTCTACCACAGAAAATATACTAACAATTGTACACTTTTGATCTAAATGGTACTGTTTTATTCCGACCGAGTTGCCTTGTATTCAGACGTCATCTGGCTTGCGTAGATTTTTAATATGTTTTCTGCTGTCTCAAGAGGGCGTTTTATTTGTATTTTATAGGCTAGAAAAAAATAACTTGTTTTCTACAGCCGCGTATTGGGAAGGCACAAACACCGTGCGCCATAAAATGGGGCTTCTTTTTTTCTCGAAAATTACCGAGTGTTCCTTTTGTTCAAATTCTAAGAACATATAAAAATATAGAAAGATAAACTAGAAATGACTATCGAAGATTTCTAGGACAAACAATTATCAGTTGCAATTTTGGAGGTTGAATTTAGGAACTCGTTTTTTTCCGGATCTATCTTTAAATTAGGGAATAATAAGGGTTGTATTTATTTTTCCAAATTGATTTGAAAACACAAAACTTAGCAAGGTACTGAGTGTTATCACTACCCGACCATGCCTGTATGTTTAAAATCATCGTACATAATAATAGCAGACTAGCACGTGGTGCTGTTGCTAGCTAATCGCACATCATGTCGTCCGAAAAAAAACACAAAATTTCAAAGCAGGTTAGTACGGCTGACAATTTGTTATGCTGTATAGCTGACTTACTGGCAAATATATTTAAACAGTTTCGCTGGTGCCACCGTGCCTAAATCACGCACACCGGAGAAACTAGAACGAAATTAATAGATCGCGTTTAAAAAAACTCTGTGGCGCATATCTTAAAATACAAAAAAAATTAACTTTAGTCTATAAAAAACGATTTTGATTTACTTTTACCGTCGATTCCACAACAAATATTAACAACAACGCAAACATCGCTATTTTGAACAAAATTAAAAGTATGCTTTCAGATGGCGGTGGTCCTCGTCGCGATGTTCTCACTCAACAAATCTCAAGCGGGCGCCTTCGCTGACAGCATTTTTGGTCCTTACTTTGGTCACTTTCTTGCGCTGACAGCACAAAAGACCATCACTGTGCGTTTATCGTTTCAGTTCGATTGAAACCATAAGAAAGACTTAGAAACCCCTGGTGGCCAAACAAGGCTATGTACGCTGATTATTCGCGTGGTCTGACGTCTTCTACGTCTTGTTGTGTCACTCCGTCAAAATTGTCGTTGCTGCCACGCCATACGCTCACACGTTATTTCCCTACAGACGCTCGCGAACAGCCAGGATTTAAAAACTAATCTGGCCTCCGTGAATGAAAAAATTCGCCCTACGAACGCCAGTAGAGGCCCCCGTTTGGCAAACACTGTCGCACTTAGAGCCACGAAATAAACTACTCCTCAAAAATAACGGCACCTCACTGCACGAACTTTTTCTGTGTCACCAGTTTGGTGCTTAGTCTGAAAACAGACGCCATTGGTTATCAATACGATTCGGAAGAGCGACTCTTTCAGCTTTAGATACAGTGTAAGGAAGCTCAGACGATCTCCGTGTGCTCTGTCGTGAACTGTTTGAACATTTCTGTAGGATGCAAAAAACATTTTCAATGATTTCAAATCAATTATCTTCGGATGAATGTCAACAATGGTGTCTTAGCACCAAGATGCCTGAACTGGCGTTACTCTCAAGCGTAACTTATGAGTGAGTCTATATAGTCATCGACAGAGTGAGAAAGACAGGGCATGTTATTTCGAACGGCGCCAGCCTCGAGCACGCGCTCTACGGCTACCGCTGTGCTTTGGTCACGCGCGCGAGCTGGAGCTGCGCGAGATGCCGAGGCGTCGTCGAAGGTAGGAAGCCCGTGCTGGAGGCAAGACAAGTGAAGTTCCTCCCTGCCGATCTCAACGTTGTAAGTGGCTATATGCCCGTAGCTCTGAAGTTTTGAGCAGCACTCCAGGCGAGCAAGATAGAATATTTGGCTCGCGTTTCGAACATGCGTGAATACGCTTCCCAACTAGAGTTTCTTCCTACTCCGTTCCATTCTAAGTGCCAGCGTAGCAGAGGCTACAGGTGCGAGCTGCGAGCTTTCAGCGTCCCTGTCAAGCACGCGCGCTCGTGCAGTGCGAGCATCTTTCAGGAGGACGTGCTTTTGTGAGTAGCTTTGGCTTCACTATCACGTAAAGTGAAACATACGTGCTCGCGTGAAGCTATGAAAAAAGGCAAAGATGAAAGGAAAGTTGAATGGGACGCTGCGGCCGCGAGCTGCATAATTCTTTTTTAATTTTTATTTTTATAGAGGTTTCGTTATCGCGCATTTTCAGATGCTTGCATTCGAACGTGGCACGAGCAAACTCAAACATTACACAGCCACCTGGATGATTCAGCCATCATAACATGGTCGCGTCTTGCGGATGCGCTCGCGCCCCCTGCCCCAGAGCAACGGGTCTATAGACCTTTGCAAAAAGAGCTCTCTGGCCGCCGCCATTTTGTGAATCGAGCGACCCCTATCAGCCAGAAATTTCTGCCACCCGTCTGAGTTGTGGAAACCCGGTCAGCCTCGCTCCCCACCTGCATTGTGCATTCGGTGTTCGCCAGCTTTTCTTGAGAGTTTTTACTCTATTTGCCTGTTTATGATGCTTACCCTTTGTGTGTCATCTTCCACTGTGAGAACCAGGGAATACCAGGGCTCGTTGCCTGAACGGCCTTCGCAGGAAACGAACGAAGAGAGGGAACGTCAAGTAGCACGCGACGCAGGAAGTTCAACGTTCTTGGAGGACTATTTCCGTTGAGATAATTTCCAAAAAGCCTTCCCGGCTATGTTCCGGGTTTCGCGAAATGTAGCTGATACTGATAGGGTCAAGTCCGGGGTGTGGGGACAGAATAGACACGTTCCTTCATTTGCTTCGGAGCTGTGCAAAAAAGCAGCTTTCTTCAAAACGTGCCCCAAAACACGCCGGACTGCATCCGATCGTCGTGAAGTGACTATTGTCGACACTATATTGGATATGCTGTGCTATTTGAGAGCTTTCTTAAGTCCTGTTCGGATAACGCGGCACCGTGGGAAACATACAATATATGTTGTTCGATAGATGAAACTCGTTGAATTTCATATTGTGCAGGGGAAATACCCATGCATTTCGTATGTTCTGTGTAGTCAAATATTTTGGACAGTTAGGACCTTCGTGGAGTGAGTGACACGGCTAAGTGTATGGTGCCGTAGAAAAATCAACATAATATAAAACAAGCATTCCAGACGCATTTCTTCTATCGCGCACGGACTCACCAACACAGCTTTCATTTCTTTGTTTTTGTTCCCAAAATACTGCAATGCATTCATAAAAACTTCGAGAAATTCTACTCGCTATAGAACACAAAATAAAACATAGAACGTGGCAATTCAGCCTTCACCAACGTCCGGAAGTGCGCCTACGCAGGCTGCCACAGCCCACTGACTAGAAAACCAACAGCCCAGCGCAGTCGGGCAACACTGACGTACCCTCTCAAAACCGAAGACACGCGCCGTAAATCGCTTCGCTCAAGACTGCCGCTGGAAATTAAGGCCTATAGGCTCAGTTAAGAAAGGCTTGACTCTAGCACGATCTACACCAATACTGCCTAGAAGACGAGACGTATGCATGACGTCGTCGCTTTTGAATTCCCGAGCCGCACCAAGTAAACAGAGACGCTGAAAGTTGACGAGAAACGCCGCTAAGCGGCAAAGGCGTCCGCCTTGGCGTCGCCGCGTCCTATAGCGTCGCGTTCGTTGTGAGAAGCTCAGAAACGCGCTGACGGCAATGCTGACGCGAGAATGGCGTTGGATACCGCTGCGCGTCCAGGTGTCCACCATGGCGGACGCGGACCCGGTGACGGCCAACACCGGCAGCGGCAGTCAGCAGGACGAGGACGAGTTCGACGACCTCCCCACGGAAGCTGGCGGGGACAAGTCGCCGGACTGCGACGAAGACGTCACCTTCCTCGAGCGCAGCAGCAAGAGCACGGCCAGCGAGCCCTCGCACATGGTTCATAACGGCAACCACGACTCCGGCTACGCACCCTCCAACGTTGAGGAGACACAATTCTCCAAGAAGGCGCACAACGACAAGGTTAGTGTCGTCACCGTTACCATTAGCATCTTCGTGCTTCGAACTATACGGAGCGCAAGTTTGTCCGCTTCTTACACTAGGACTGCGATGGTGTCAAAACGCCTAAAGTCATTGGATTCTGGGAAAGTAGCGCCATTGCCTTACCTACCTGCTAGCCGGACACAAACGGATACTAGAATACAGACGACCAAAAGTAGCAAGGCGATTGGCTATCTGTTTACGTTGCCATGGAAATCACCGTCTTGGTCCACTCAATTCTTCGAAACTTTAAAGGGATACTGAACCAAGGAATTCAGTGTCCATAATAAGTGGCGCACGTTCTTTCCACGAGCTAGCAGCCGCCGGTGTGCGCGAGCACACGCAACGAAAATGACGTCAAAGACCTCCATTCTCGCTTAAGAGGACAGTGAAATGCATGGGCTTCGGGCCAAAGAAGACTAAAGACAGGCTTTTCATCTCTACAAGTGAAACCTACGTGCTTTTTAGACCAATTAATCGCTTACCTATTACACCGGACACCGCTGTGTAGATGAAACACGTCTCTTTATTCTCCTTTGGCTTGAAGCCCATAGATTTCACTGTCATCTTAACCGCGAATGGAGGTCTTTGACGTCATTTTTGTTGCGTGTGCTCGCGCACACCGGCTGCTGCTGGCTCGTATAAGAACGTACGCCGCTTATTATGGAAACTAAATTCCTTGGTTCAGTATCCTTTTAAATGGGTCGTTCTAAACCAGTCGCGCCCAGATCACTGTGGAGCATCGTCGTACCGGAAGCGTTCCTCGCCAATATAAGCGTCTTTGGCACTGTGTATTCAGTCAACTTAATTATCATGCCAATCTCCGCGAACCTCTTTCAGTTATATTGTTCTTCTTCCGTCTTTTAAAACCGTAAACTTATTTCTCAGTGTTTCCAAGCACCGACACAGCATGTGGTGGTGGTGGTACGAGGATGTACGCTTGTTTCGCTGGTGTGTGGGAAGCAAAATCTTGGTAAACAAGGAACGTCTCCATAAAGCTACTCGTCACCAGCGATTATAGATCGGTTCACCAAGAACAGGGGAGTCAGGAAGAAACAGACCGTTCTCAATAAGCGTTCGGCGCATGAGTGAAGCCGCCATAAGATTAGTTCACAGGAGGCAAGCGGCAGTACAGTGTACTAGAGCGGCAGTGCCCGGGAGGGCTCCTGCCGTCTCGTGCACTTCATGAGCGAGTTCCAGCGAGATTCGGGCACGTGCAGAAAGAAGACTAAAGTTCGCTCGTTGCATTGCGACAGCAAGGGCGTAGTCAAACTGGCTGGTGAGATCGGCCTATTGCTCATTTCACGGACTAAAATAACGACCATACGGGGAGCTTGGCGCTACTTTCCCAGGATCCAGTAGTTTTAAGAACGCCAAGCCCTTATTGACCGATCGAAGAAAATAGTGGGTAGAGCCCAAGGCATCGATCATTGAGGTCTACCCTGTCCTTTCAATCAGAGCCAATCAAAGCTCGGCGTCGTTCGGACGTCACCGCAATCGGTGCGCAAGAAGCAGGCGACTTGCTCTCCGCATAGTCACTGGGAGCCTCAGAAACGCAGGTCATGGTGAACTCCGGCCATCTTGTTAGCGCCCTGCGGCAAATGCGATTGTGTTATTAGCCGGGAGAACGATAAGAACGCTGAAGATAAAATCATAAGGCCAGAGGCGTGAAGATGACAGGTCACGCCCTGCGTTTTCCGAACTTTCAATGACAATAGAATCATTACGAACATCATTTCCACTGCTTCCGTCACTGTTGGGAGACCGAAAAGACGCAGAACTCAAGTTGGCGCCCCACGTTTATTCTCACGTCATTTTGACGTCATAAGAATGAGCCCGAGCGCATACAGAAATTTTTCTGCCTTCTCGCAAAACCTGAACGAAGACGTGTAAATTTACAGCCCAGGCGGCACACAGTATAGCGCCGATATAGGATCAAATCTGAAACATTGTGCCGTTACCGTTTTGGTCCAGCCAATATCTGTGAAAAAAGGGATGGGTCGCGCCGACGCCATCCTGACATAGCCAGCCGGCAACGGCCAGGCGGCGCCAGCAGGGTGAGAGCGCAAAGTTATACCCTGCATCCTTGTAACTTGGCAAAGGGTGAACAATAAGCCCCACATTGCGCGCCGAAGGCTTCGAAATGCGCGACGTATACGAGCGCAACGCACACATATTGGAGCATGACGCAGCGAAAAGCCTGATATTTTTTCGGAGTTGAGGCGCGCTCCGGTGGTACGCAGTCACGTTCCGATTGGCCCGCCAGGGCCGTAGCTTCCGCTCTACTGGCACATTACGCGATCACGGCTTCCGGGGATACCCAGTATTTCTTGCTTCAGACACTAGGCTAAGCGGCGCCACAAGAGTAAACGCTCACGTGTGAACAATGCAGCCGCCACTCCCAGGGGTACCCAATATTTCTTGCTTCAGTCGCTAGATGGCACCAAACCAAACAGCATTGCAGGTTGCCTATACCGTATGCGACGCCGTTTTTGGTTGAGTGTCAAGAGTGTCCTGCGTGAATGGGCTATACCGGCGAGGTATTTCTATTTCTTAATCGCCCTAAATCCGACGTTAGAAACGAAAAGTAAAACAAGATTAATAAGCAAAACGGTATATACTTACTTTTAACGCGAGAAACACATTCTCCTCTCAAGCCTTGAACAAACTGTTGCGCCCTCATTTCGGGTATTACAAACTCACCCGACTGGGCCTCGCACAACTTACAACACCTTCACTGAGATTTTATTTGTGTGTGTAGTTCTGAAGAAACAATGCCGCAAGACAATCGAAAGTGCCGAATTCCTGACACTCCCGCTAGAGTACGCGTTTCTTATCTCTGCGTGGTGACACCAAAATATCTAACGTCCCTATGCTTTTTTTTTTTTTTTGGTACGCGTGAAACCGCGTTGTCCGTTTCATGCTCTCAACGTATAAGAGCTTTCACCCATGCTTCGACAGCGTTCGAATTTGTTTTGTGTATTTATTTTGTGATTTTGCGATCGGCATCAGAGCAGGCACGCTATCTGCCTGCAGCAAGTCCTGACGTATCCCATTTTGCGACCCTCCCTGGGCAGCGCAGGTGGCCTATACACCTTTCCAAAAAACGCTCCTAGGCCGCCGCCATGTTGCTGATGCTGATGCGGCTGGTGCGACTCTCGCGCCCTCTATCAGCTAGAAGTTTTCTGCCACTCTCTGGGACTGTGAAGACCCGCTCAGCGCGGTTCTCTACCTACGTTTTTGCGGTTTTGCATTCGACGTTTTCTCACTTTCTTGAAAGTTTCCACTTCATTTTTTTTTTTATGCGTGCTGCCTACCCTTCTTGTGTTATCTTCCATTGTGAGAAATAAGGCTGGTAAGTGCCTGTCATTCAAGCTTTTCTGCTCAACATTCACGGGAAACGAAGGAGGTGAAGGACGTCGAACGACCCTCGACGCGATTTTGCGAACATTGTTCTCCCACCTCCCAGAGATAATCCGCGTAGAATCCTCAGTCATCTCCAAAAATAGTTGCCCGGGTTGGGGTGAGAAACGGGTCAGTCGCGTTTGTTTCTTTGCCTTGGTGCGGTTGTGAAAAAAAGGAAGCTCTCCCCGAAACGTGCCCCAAACGAAGTCATCTCGGATTCCGTCCGATCGTCAAGATGTGACTGTCGTCGACTGTGACTGTGTTATTTGAGACCTTTCTCAAATAAATTCTTTTTGGATAACGCTGCATCGTGTGGTATGTACGATATATTGTTCTAATGTTACCACTTCCTCAAATGCACGTCCGTGTCCTGTCCATCGGTAAACACGTTATTTGTGAGCGTGAAAAATGCATGCCTTTCGGCCGTCTTCTGTTGCAATTTATTTTTGACAGCAAAGCGCTTTGTCGCTTCACATGCGGCGAATCCCGCGGCGTTGTCAAAACTGATCGTAAGAAAAAAACAAATAACTAGAACTATACATTCCAGTCGCACTCGTTCTGTCGCGCGCGTACCCAACAAAAACAGTTTACAGTTTTTTTTAGTGTGGCATAATACTTTCTCAATGCCCTCGGGAAAATACATGTACAATCAAACACAAAATAATGCGGGAAAAAACGAGAATTTAGCCGCCAGCAGCGTTTGAAACTGCGCCTACGCAGGCTGCGCCTATTGAAATCACAGTCCACTCGGTTAGGGTTAGGAGGGACGCCGGTGAGAGTCTAGCCTCAAACTCAGTGACTGGGCTCGAAAACGGTTTGTGGCCCCTGGGGTCGAGTGTTTTTTGGAAAGGTGTATACAAAGCAGCAGAGGGAGATTAGCTGCTTCGTCCTCCTTCCCTTTGACCTCGTCTTCTGATAAGCCAGCACACCTTCTTTTGTGTCTTCGTGTGACTGTGAGCAAGTCCGAAGGCTGCTTCTAGCAAATCAGAGCGGTGGTGCAAAACACGTGACCGCTCTCCGTAGGGCAAAAACGCTTGGACGAAAATTTGTCACGTGACTCGCTCTGACGCGCTGATGGAGTCACTGGGGCCGTAGTCTTTGCCGTATTCCGAGTTATGGTGAGTTGTACTTGTATGAGCCACGTATAGGTCCCGTTTGCGCCCGTCAGGCGTCAGTGTTCTCCTGTTTTCCGTGCGTTGCAGTCGCAGCGGTGATTTTTCGTCTTGAACGGCCGGAGTACGTCCATAGTAACTTTTTGTGAATGGTCGTTTATTTCGTCGGAGTCCATGGAATTATTGTGCTGTGTTGGACGGACGCGTTTTGACAACGAGCTGCTCATCGGCGGTCCCGAGAACTCCGCTAAATGTGATCGACCGCCTTCAACCTCGACATTGTGTTTGCGTTGTTTTGTGCTGCCCGAATCGGATTGTGCATCTATCACGGCAGAGAGCTGCTCATCACCGACCGCGAGTCTTCCGTTGAATTTGAGCGACCGTTTCATCACCGACGTTGTGTTTGTGAATTGCTCTGTGCTACCCGAATCAGATTATACAGCTATCACGGATTACACGAGATTG